CAAATATCTTTACTGAATTATTATACCAGTGAAAAATCTGAAACAAACGAATTGCCTTGCTATTGAGATGTGTCTAGTGTAATGTAAACATGATGGAGTAGCAGGGAATTTTTGAGAAAATGATATAGATCTGTATTAAGAGAAGTTCTTTATGAGACATTGTTGCATGAAAACATTAATAGTATAAGCATACATATAGTATCTTTTATATATTTAAAATATTTTTCTCCACACTTTAAAACATAATTCTGGACTCTAATAGGGCAACCTAAGAACAGTAGTTATGTCTGCCTAAGGAGTGCAAAGAAAGAGAATTACCTGTGGGGAAACCAAATGAGATTTTGCCTTCTAGGCAATGTTTACATTTTTGTATTATAAGAACTTTGGGGTTTGAAGAGAATTGGTTTAAATCTAATTCTTAATATATTCTTTATACTCCCTCCAAAAAATGTAAAGTCGGTAAGAACAAGGAACATCATAGGCAGTGACTTTATCTATCCCAGGAGACATAGAACATTCAAATTACTTATAAATAAAAAAACAAAATAAATTTTAATATATCCTGCAGCCTTTGCCTGCCATATATTGTAAACCTGTAAGTGCAGCAAGCAAGGGAGAGGCATCTTTAGAAACTCAGTGGAATACAGCAGAGAGGGAGGACACGAGAAAGCACAAACAAACCACAACGACATGAAGTGTTCAGGACCGGAACTTCTAGGAAGACAACTTCCTAGAAGTATTGCTTCTGGGAAAGAATGAGATGCTGAGAGGTGAATATTAAAAATGAAAAAAACCCTGTAAGTGACACCCCCGGGGAGCAACCATAGATATTTCTCTTCTTCCCTTCCTCTCTAAAGATAAATAAATAAAATATTTTTAAAAAATGAAAAAAAATGCTGTGCATCTTAAAGATGAGGTAATAAACATAAGAAGCCTATAAGAGACAAAAATTAAAGATCCATCCTGCCAAAATGACCAGACATCTCACACACCAACATTTGTCACCCCTACCATTATGACAATACTCTCCATACAGAACCCACACAGAAGAGCCCTGAGCTGGCCAAAATAAGAAGAAGACAAATCATATTAGAAATGAAGGCTTAATTATAAGGTTCCCAACTTGCGGGGTGTTGGGGTGGATTCAAATAGAAACTTAATAAAAGACTTGGAATAAGAACAGAAAATCAGCTAAGAAAATAAAAAATGAGATAAAGAAAGAAAAATAATCCAAAGTAAAAGTGTTTGTAAAGGTATATGGGCAGATCAGGTTGAACACATGATATATAGTGACTATGATGAACAAAGTCAAAACAATGTAACAGAAATAATACTGAAAAGATAAAATTCAAGAAAATTTTCCAGAGAAAAAGACAACATGAATCTCCATTTTGAAAGAACCTACTGGTTTCCAGGAAAAACTGACTAAGAATACACCACTCTAAGATACATTATCCGTCTGGAAAAAGTTCAGCCATTGTTACTATAATGAGAACAGTTTGCGTGGCATGGATGTAACTTGGCAGCCGAAGAAAGTGGACTGAAATGCACTTGTGTGAACAATGGCAACTTCACTGCACTAGTCACTGGAGGTGGTAGGCCATGTTGAGTGAGCATGTGTCCTATGTGACCATCACATTCAAAATGACTGAGCAAGTAGAGAAAGGAACCTGCATCAAACTTGTGTTAAGCGTGATCATTCCACCAAAGAAACTATTCAGATGATTGAGAAGGCCGAAGCCATGGGCAACTGGTGATTGGCAGCTTCATCATGAGATGACACACGACTAGTGCAGAATTTTTTTGTGTGAAGCATCAAATTTTCCAGGTGATTCAGCCCTGCTACAGCCCAGATCTGGTGCCCTGCAACTTCTAGCTTTTCCTAAGACTAAAATTATCTTTGAGAGGAAAGAGATTTCAGACCATTAATGAGAGAGTTACAGACCATTCAGGAGAGTATGTAAAGGAAGCTGATGGTGATTAGGAGAACCGTATGATGTCCCAAGGTGCCTACTTTGAAGGGGACTGAGAGGCCATTGTCCTATGTACAATGTTTCTTGTATCTTTTGTCTTCTTTAATACATGTTTCTATTTTTCATTCCACATGAATGCATACCTTCTGGACAGGCGTCATATATTACAGTGAAATTGAAAGATTTTAAAGTTAAAAGAAAATCACAAGGCCTCAGACAAAGAGATAAAATAAATTGCAAAAGTAAAAGAGGAAGAATGACATCCTATTCTTTGAAAAACATGCACTGATATGCAATTTGGGGTAGAGACTTAAACAACAAAGTGAAAAGTAAAAGAAAAAAGAAAAAAGGACAAACTTAAGGAAAATGCAGACCAAGCTCTCTTTCAAGTTTCAAGGGCATAAAACCAGTGTTGAATGTGCCAGAACTTTGGAAAAACTTTACAAATGTTTCCAAGAAACTCTTACTAAAGGAAGAGCTTCAACCAACCAACAGGTGATTGACAAAACCATGTAAAGAAGTAGTGGGCAAGTATTTCATACATTTAATTGCAGAGCTAAATTTTTTTAAAAGGCAGGTTCTTGGATTAAATAATAATGTGCCAATGTGAATAGCACTTTTTATTTTATTGGACAAAGAGGGAAAACACAATAAATCAAATGGAAGGAGTGAAAAGAGGTGAAATAGATGGAATTCAAAGGATACCACTGAAAGCTTTCAGAAGCAAAAGCTTAAACAAAGGTTGTTTAAGCTTCTTCAAATACTATTTTAAGAAACAAATGCTAGAATGGAAAGACAAGCGTTTTTAAAAACCAATAAAAATTAGAGAAAAAGAAAAACAAAGACAACCAGATAGATAAACACAGTAAATATAAAATGCAAATGGTACTTAGAACATAATGTGATGAAATTGAGTCCAAATATGAGACTCATGTGAACAAAGAGAAATGGGTTTAACTTGCCTATTTAAGAAAAATATTTTCAAATTTATTTCTAAAACAAAATGTAACTCTATGCTATGTATAAGAGATACACTTAAAATGCTGTTATTTAAATTAGGCTGAAAAAAGATTTACCAGACAAAAAGAAAACAGAGCTTGCACATTTGATATGTGGATGAGAAGGGGCCTCATACTAAACCTGACAAGTTCATGGAGGTCTGCATGGTGCTTTACAAACTCAAAGACCTAAAGTAGCCATGGAGGATGGTCTGAAATGAAAACTCTCTAACCAAGAGTGAGTGATGGCCGGTACTCATGTTCCAGCTCAGTATCTTCCCAAAGGTTAGTCTTTACCTTAACTGAGGCCTTTTTGCATCTATGATAACACACCTTTAGAAAGTCAGAGTAATTCTCTTTTTCCAGACCCGTCAGGTCACAATCTCCCACAAGAGCAGGAGACTGTAGAATCTCTCATTGCTCACCTGTTCTCAGGAACACCACCTCTGTGTGTTGTAAGTGCTAATTGTTAACCATTCTGTACCCACCAATGTAAAAAAAGTATGTGTGTACCATTTTACCTTTTACCCAATCTCAGATATCCTTACTTTGCTTTCTCCCACCTCTCTAATCTCCCATCAATAGACTTCATGTAAGCCTACTTATATCTCCTCCTTTGACTCTCATAATAAGTGGTAAAACCGTCATTTTCTGGAGTATTTTCTCAGTCCACTAAGATTTTCTGTCCTGGCAATTGTCATCAGTTTGGCTCAAATAAACTCATAAAAATTTTCTACAAGTTTGGACAGTTCTTAGGTTGAGAGATCCAAGGTAGATTTCTAATCATTAAATAAGACAGATGGCATTAAGTGAGACGCAAAAAAAAAGATACTTTATAATGTTAAAAACCAAATTCTAAACTGAAGACTGCAGCTAAGCTTACTTATTCAGTAAATAATACAGAAACTCTGAGTATTAATTTTATGTGTCACTGTGGATCATGGATTCCCCAGATTAAACATTATCACTGGATGGTTGGTGAGGGTGTTTCTGAGAACAGCATTTGAATCAGTACACTCAATAAAGTAGATTGTCCTCCCCACTGTGGGTTGGCCTCAGCTAATTTGTTAAGGGCTTGATTAGAACAAAACCAAGTTTGTCCCCTTTATGACCTGTCTGCCTGCCTGAGGGGGGGACTTTAGTCTTTTGCTATTCTTGCATTGGAATTTACACCCTTCAGCTACCCTGGTTCCCAGGCTTTTTTACTCATACTGGAATTACACTAGCAGCTTTCCTTGACCTCTTATTTGCAGAGTATGGGAGTTCCTATTTTCTGTAGTCATGTGAGCCAATCCTCTTGGAGCTCTGGAGTCTGGGGAATCCAAGGTCAAGGTCCATATTCGTTACCTGGTGAGAGCTTGCTTCCTCACTGACAGTCTCCTCACTGTGTGCTCACATGATGGAAGGGCTGGACAGCCCCGTGGGGCCCTTTTTATAAGCACACTCATGCCATTTGTGAGATTAGCCTAATCACCTCTCAAAGGCCTTACTTCCTAAGGGGGTTAGTATTTCCACATGTGACTTTTGGTGGGATACAAAGTTTTATACCATGGCATTTATTTTATTCATTATAAACCCAAAATTGTATCAAATAATTTTGGCATTAATCTGTTGTGTCCTCCTCATGATTGTAGTAGTAAACCCATTTATTCCTTACTTAATCACACCAGCTTCCTTCCATTTTCACACTCCAAGAATTGCTACTATTTATATCTCCTCTGCCTTTTAGGGTCACCATAAACCAAAAAGGATGTGTCAAAAATCCTAAATAAGAAGAAAAGTAATACCATTGTCTCAAGGTATTGGCAAAATCTAAATGAATGTGTACAGACACACATACACTGAGCCCCAAGGAGAACTGAATAAAAAGCCCTTTCATTTATGCAATTCAACTTTACCAGAAAATATGCTAATGAACCAAGCGAGCATTTCTAAGTCATTGATATCACAGTGTTCTGCGCACAATTTCCAAAAACAAGTTAATGGACCAGTTTTTAAAAATTTAGAAGAAATGTAGTTTGACACATACCAATGAAGCCAGTTGATGTGCTTGCAAAAATAGAGACTTTATCTTGGGTCTTCTCTAAACTAAAGCAATCTTGATATGAGCTGTCATCCTGCTACAAAAATAAAAATTAATGTGTAGCCCTGGACTCTTGATAGGAGTATTATATTATTGAATAGCATAGGTAAATATAGTCAAGTGACTAAAATAATACCTTTAGAACTAAATAGCTTATGGAAAAGTTGAAACTGGTCAAATATTTCTTATTTCATTAAATGTTCTTGAAGTAATTGTTCAAAGCACTTGGATAAGGAGAATACATCCTCCTCCTGAAGTACGTGCATGCCATTTGATTCTGTCTGTGCTTGTGTGTTTTTCTGTTTCTGTATTTGTGTAGGGACAGAATGCACTTGGAGTCTTGGAGTTTATTATTTCAGATTACACATTCTCTAAGGCAAATATCCATATATTTCATGACTCTTGGGAGTGATACAGTTCAGAGTTTATACTTGAAACATTTTTAGATAAATCCAGCAAGAACTATGCACTGCAGATATAAACTCTCTTTAACAATATTTTTCTCTAGTCTATCATAGTCTCTTCTCTTTTGCACTTTCATGCCTCTTAACTGCTACAGTCTATAACCAATTTTGTTCATCTAGGTAATCCCTGTTAGTTCATTTGTGGTTCTTTATTCCTCTACATCAACATCTGTGGAGTCTTCAGAGCTCTATCTGCAAAAACATTAAGTTTCTAGTGCTTTGTTGAGGAAAGCCTTTCCCTGGAAATTTATCTTACCTACTGACTGCTTAGTCTCCCAACATATATATAATGGCATGATGCTTTAATGTTTACTGACCTTCTTATACTATTACTTTTCTATTTCATATTAAAATGTCTACTTCTTCACTTATCTTTGCTTCTAATACTGTGGGTCTTTGTTTCTAGTACTGTGCATACAAGAATATTCTTCACTGCTGCCTACTCATCATCTCTGACTCACTGTTCATTCACCGAGGAATTGTGTGATGAAGTTCAAGTTCTCCACCTTACTCTAATCCCTGCCATTACCATAAAAGATACACAAACCAAAATTCCATACACACCCCATTTAAGCACTATTTATACTCCTCTGCCTTTAGTCACATAACAAAAAGGTATATCTATTTATCTGTATACCTTATATAACACAACAATCTCAAAATTATTTAGCCTTTCAACTCCAAGAATTGTCAACTTTAGTGTATATCAATAACCCTTACCAGGATCATAATCTAGAATTGATCACAAAAAAATCCCATCTTTGAAATAATAAAAATTGCATGCTCTGACTCCAAGTTCTTTACTCTACATCTCTCACTGAGTTTACTTACATTTTACTTGTTTTTTAATTTAAATCAGATAAAATTGTCCACTGATACCTGCTCCTTGGCTATCACACAGCTTTGAGTCTCATGAAAGATATAATTATAGGAAATAATTATATTGCCTTATGATTCAGTGCTGTGATAGACCAGCACTTTAACAGACTCTGTGGATTCTATTTATTTAATATCTCCTGAGAGCATTAAATTATTTTCCATTCTTACTACATGTTTTAAAAAACAGACCATAGTCATTCCTTACCTGGATTACTCTGACATTTCCTTAGTGCACTTCTTCACTCATGGATTGTATATGTTCAATATGTTTCTCATAGTGCAGCCTGAGTGATCTTTCTAAAATGAACAACTTATATTCCTTTCTTGTTTAAAATCTTTCAGGATCCATGCTCTTGAGATTGGATTCAGGAACAAATGGCTTGTCATGAGTTATAAGACCCCTGGGATATTTCCTCTGCTGCCCTCTCTCCCTACTTCCTCTTTATTTCTTCACATCTAGTCCATAGTTCAGTCATGCCACATGGTTTCAGATCAATTACGTTTATTTAAGTGCAGTAACTTGGCACCCACCCACTTGGCACCGTGATGGGAACACACTACTATGCTCAGTTTCCCCAACTTCTTGTTTACTGATGTGTTCTTTGGAAAGAATGACTTTTGTTGTTGTTTTTACTGCATTTTTCAGCAATATAGAAGGTCAGGACTGTACACAACCTGAATGCTGCATAGATTTATGCCTTAAAATAAAATATGCTAATAATTGACCATGTTATCTTATCTGTGCCTCTAAATAGGACGTTCTGTCATTAGTGAGAAGCATTAGGTTCATGTCTAAATTTGTATTTTCCTTTTTGTTGATTTTACTTCATTTATTTCCAAGTGAGGGAACTAAACTGTGTGGAATAAACTGTGATGCCTGCAGCTGGCCCATGGCTAACTGTCTGCCATCTGCCACATGGCTCGCACTGGGCTGTGTGTGTATTAATCACACAGGCTCTACTCCTGAGTTTAGATTTCAGAGGCCTAGACTGTGACTACCACGTGTATGGAGGAGTTTAAAGAGGAAAACCTGAAAGAAAGAACTGGGACTCCTAATTATAAATGGAATGTGCCATCTTCTTGGATACAGTAATGAAAAACATTTCTGAAGTCATTGTAAACCAAAGGCAATGAAAATAATTTGAAACATATGTACTTGGTAGACTCTCTTCCCCTAAATCAGATTTTCATAGGAGGTCAAAGAATAATTGTATTTGCCTTAAAGACATGTTTCTTTAGTTTTACTTTTAAAATGGAAGAAATATGAAGCAGTGTGGGTACAGAAGAATTACAAAGAGAAATGAGCTCATTAATTTGGAAGAAGAGAGAGACTTTCTTAAGAGAACATTTAAGATCTTAGAGAATAAAATAGGTGGATATGACAGAGAAAAAGAAAAGAACCTGAGTCTGGCCACATTAGACCAAATAAGACCACATTATGAAGCCCTGAGGGTTAGGACTTTAGCATATATGCCAGGATACAAAATTACACTCCCCAAATTTTGACGTAATTTCTCCACCCCAGTCTATCTGGTAGATAAAAAGTTACCCTCATTGTTTTAATTTGTATGGCTCAAATATAGTAATATTGAGCTAAGCTTGTTTGTGTTAGGTCTTTTTTTCTGATTAAAAAAACAAAACTGACCCACTGTGTTCCCTCTCAACTCACTTATGCATATTTTTGTTTTTAACTTTTGTTTATTTCTTTTTGCCTTCTCACAAGAGAGCATGGATTTTCATTGTCTTTTGTTCACCAGTGTTTCTTGGTGTTTTCATAGTCCCCAACACACCATGCATAACTAATGAACATTTGATAAATGAGTAAGTAAAGCTGTCCTTCCATGCATATATTATTTGTAGTTCTTCCTCATACTTACATAATTGTTAGTCTTGTTCTTATTTACTTTTAAATTTCTCTTCTTATTGTTTAAAAACTAATCATATATTTGATGTAAATATTTTTCTCCAGTCTTTCGTCTTTTAACTGTTTTGATAATTTGGAGTTCTTTGTTCATATAAAATACTTGTGGAGTTGATATAACAAAATTTACTGAAGTTTTCATTTATGTGTTTGACTTATTTTTCTCTCAAAATTATATGTTTTCTTCATTTTATTTTTTATATCTTTATAAATTGTGCAGTCCATCTTAGTATCACAAAGTGCCCAGTGCATAGTAGGCCTTCGAGGATAACCGATGACTGAGTAACTCAGTGGGAGGACAGACCAGGTAGTGGCAAAGCTGAAACACCTACTACCTGCCACAGTCAGGGTGTTCCCTGGCCTGGGTGACAGAAAACTAAATAAAAGTAACTGGGAAAAAAGTGGGACATTCCATTGAATAAAAGCTGGAAATACCTTACAGACGAGAAAAAAAATCACAATTCCTAGACACCAAAATATACTTTAACTCAGATGGACTGCAGAGTGGTGACTTTGGATGTTCTATGCATCTTAGAGTAACATTCTACTCATGGCCTGCCCTACAGTTTAGTACCCATCCCTGGGAATTCTACTGTGATGCTATCAACAAAATTCTGAGAGAACCAGAGTGCAAGGAAACAAAATAGTGAGATGCCTGGTTATAGAACCTGGGCAAACATATTGATGATTGCAGAAAAAACATGAATTAGTGTGCAAGTACATGCTAGGGGCTCAGCAAAGCTGTCCGTGTGAGATGCAAGGCAGCAGCACTTAGGACAGGCCTCTCGTGGATGGGGAGGAGTCAGAGGCCACAGAACCCTCTGTGGAGAAACTAGAAAGTGCCCTCAGCCTCCCAATGATCAAAATAAAAATTATTTTGAAGTAAAGAGGAAACAAAGTGTCACAGTATTAAAAAAGATTGAATCTGAGGCAAACACGTTACCTGGTAGTGAATTAGTCTTTAGCAAACTCATTTTTAGGTCACCTATCCTGTTCATAATTATATAAACAGCACTTCTCTTTCTAGTCTTAACATTCTATGGTCTAGAAATAGGAGAAACAGCTAAAATCCAAGGACATTAATGCCTAGGAAAATACATAGCAAATAAACACAAATCAAAGTTATCTTCATTGCTAATAATGAATCCTGATGGTATGTAGCCTTCATTCAAACCTGCTTTGTGCTGTGTTCCTCCAGAGGATAGGATTTAATTTCTGAGCAACAAATATATTGCAGCCAAAACATTTGTTTTAATGTGAGGAAAGAGAGAAATAATTTTAAGGCATTGCATCTTTTCAGTCATGTTTGTGATTAAATCGAGCAGTTTCAGCCCACTGTTTTTTTTAAGACTACATAATGCAAAAATTATGCATAGAGCAAATAATAAAGGATGTGACAGGAAAGATTAAAAGTTAAATAAACCTGCAGAAATTACATCATGACAACAGATTCCAGATGGCTGCAAAATCCCCAGGGTTCTTGAGAAGTTTTGAAATGGCAGGTTGCGTGTCATTGAACAGATTTCCATCCCTGTAAGCCTATCATAAGCCTATCAAGGAAGAAAGGCATATTCCTGCACATACATAACTGCAAAGAACAATTGTTTTGAACTAGGTGTGTGGCTAGACCTAGTTCATGACCCAATCACCCTGGGAAGCCCATGGCAAGGGGTCAGAGTGGTTCTAACAAGACCTCAACTTTGCCCTCAATACTATGATTTTGTGAGGGTGTCCAGAGACAGTTCTGAAATCAGATCTGCATTGCCTTCACTTTTTAATAGAGGTCACAAGAAAAAGTGGCATTGGATAACACAGGCACGATTTGGGGCCCCAAGTGAGATTGGTGCTCCTGATGCACGGACAGCCTGGGCTTGGGGGGAGAGTCTGCTTCTAGAAACATTTAACATTCGTCTTTATAGAACATAATAATTTTGCAGCATGTAATAGTTGAAAAGCATGGAGTTTTTGGAAAAAGACAGACTTGGATCTTGGATGTGCCACTTTACTGGTTCTATGATCCTAAACTGCAGTTTTCTTGTGCTTTGAAAAGAGGGAATACAGGCCCTGGGCAGGTAGCTCAGCTGGCAGAGCATTTTCCCTGCGCATCAAAGTTGGGGTTCAGCCCTGGTCAGGGCATTTACAAGAATCAGTCAGTGAATGCACAAATAAGTGGAACAACAAATTGATGTTTGTCTCTCTCTCTTTCTCTCTCCCTCCTTCCCCTCCCCTCTAAAATCAATTTAAAAAGTGAATAACAACTCCTATTTTAGGGGTTTTGTGAGAACTAAATGAAACATGCCACTCATATAGCACCTGGCACAGGTGCTTACAAAAGCACCCACTAAGTGTATCATTGTCAGTCAGTCTCCTTTTCTTTATATCTACGTACCTGTGTGTATATGTGCTCCTGCACACTGCCCCTCTAATGTTTCACTCTGGTGCAAAGTAGTCTGGCATATGCAATTGAGAATCAAGTGCAACACACATACTACATACAATACACCTGAAATCTTCCCTTTCCCACAACACATAACACATGCTATTCACATTTCATTTGCTCAACAGCTACATGTAGCTACCACCTACTTTATCACATTATTGGAAAGGTTGATTAGATTGAGTGTGAGAGATACAAATTTAATCTTGGTGGGGAAACAAATGTTTTGTTATGTTAGCTCAGAAAAATATTCCTGATACATTTAGAGTTAATCTTATTCCGCCTTGCTAGCAAATTCATTCAACTTTACTCCAAACTGTGTTTCATATTTTTATTGCTTTTTTTTTTTGTTTTTTTTTTTTTTTTTTTTTTTTTATTTTTTTTTAAAACTAGCACTACCCTCACACCTCATTCAGCTAATGACCTTGCTTAATAATTTATAGAAGTACAATATCAATGTCTTGCCTTCTCCATCCTCCCACTATCAATAATCACATGTGTCACCAAACAAAAAGAGGGGTTTGTCTGCCTGCTGTCACAAAAGCCAAACCCGTGAGGCAGTTGCTGGTGAAAAAAGAAATTTTATTCAGATGCTGTGGGATCTAGTAGAATGGTAACTCTTGTCTCAATGCTAATTTCCTCAGCAAGAACAAAAAAAAGGCAGTGTCCGGAGTTCCTGCTCCAATTTAAAGTACAGTCTTTTGGTCCTGACTGGTGTAGCTCAGTGGATTGAGCGCCAGCCTGCAAACCAGAGAGTCGCCAGTTCTATTCCCTGTTCCAGGCACATGCCTGGATTCCGGGCTGGTTTCCATTTGGGGGCTAATTAGAGGCAACCAGTGTTTCTCTTGCACATTGATGTTTCTCTTTTTTCCCTTCTCTGAAAGAAAAAGAAGGAAAGGAGGGAAGGGAGGGAGAGAAGGAAGGAAGGAAGGGAGGGAGGGAGGGAGGGAGGGAGGGAGGAAGGAAGAGTGTTTTGGAGCTGGCAGGAGGCTGCTAACAGGTCTCCGTGTTCCCCATCCAGGTAGTTCAGGTTGTTCCCTAC